GTCAGTGCTTCGCTCAAGCGATTAGGACTGGATGCCGTCGCAGTCGACAAGACAATGCCAAAGGCGCCTAAGGCGCTGGTTACAAAACTGGATTTAACTTTGGTTTCAAACCAACTGCTAGTACTGAGCTGGATACGCAACCCACAGGTCAAGGCTGTGTTTTTGGCCCCGCCTTGCGGCACAGCAAGCGCCGCAGGCAACATACAAAGGGAGGATGACCCTGACTTGCCACAGCCACTACGTTCTGCTGAATTTCCGGACGGGCTTCCGGGCTTACAAGGCACTGATTTGCTGCGTGTTGAACAGAGCAACATTTTGTATGACTTTTCTGCAACAGTTTTTGATTTATGTTGTGAGCTGGACAAGCTGTGTATATGCGAAAACCCCAGAGACTCGCTCTACTGGGAGACGACTGTCTGGGTGGAACGAAAATTTCAATATTTAGATCATGTTCAATGTCACCAAGCATGTGCATATGGTTCAAGGAGGCCCAAGTGGACAAAGCTTGTTGCCAACTTTGCAGAAGTTGGGCGTATTTGCGGAGTTTGTGATGGCAAACACCAGCACGATCCTTGGGGCTATCGTATGCAGCAGGGCAGGCGCATTTATGCAACGGCAATGGAAGTTCACTATCCAACTGGTTTATGTGACATCATAGCTGAAACTTTGATGCTTGTTTTGCGTAAAAGAGGACTGGAACCATTAGTGAACATTCCCATCAACATGGCAGCACGTTCACTGGCACACAACCAGCCGGCAACTAACAAGATTGCCCCAATTATTTCTGAGTTTAAAACACGGTGTGTGGCACTTTTCTTTCAACAGCAATGCATTTGGCCGTTGCAATCAGCCTTTGCGAACAATGCAAAAGTCCTGCAACAATCTGAGCTGGAGGGTGAGAGCTTGCAGGCCTTGATGACCAGTGTACAAGAACAATGCCTTGCATGGAATATTGATGCAAAAGTTGATGTATCTGTTGATGTGCTGAAATTCCCATGTGTGACATGTTTGAAGCTTTTTGGAATTTTTTGGACGGAAGAGGAATTTGTGGAGCAAGCAACGCATGCGAGACACCCTCTCTCGTTGGATGCTGCAGTGCCGCCGCAACTTCTTGATGCTCTGGCTTTCAATGTAGACAATGATGAAGCAACGGTGGCAAGAACCAGGGCTAAGTTTGTGGCCAAGTGGACTCAGAGAGCAATTCAGTTGGAAGAACAGGAGAAAAGGTTGAAAGCAGACATGGATGCCAGCGTTGCTTGTGCTGTGAGGTGTAAACGCATTCTTGTTTTTGAGGAGATGCTGCAAGCCACCAATTTTCCGGACATGGGCGTGGTTGAAGAGCTTCGTGCAGGGTCAGACTTGACTGGTGACATCCCTGCTACGGGCATGCTGCCAGGGAAATTCGAACCAGCGCTCATTTCAGAAGAAGAACTCTGTGCAAATGCAGCCAGAGTTAGAAAAGCGGCAGTCAACGAGGTGAGAAGCTCTGGTGATGATTTTATTGACGATGTGGTGTGGCAGAAGATCTTGGAGGAGGTTTCGAGAGGGTGGCTGATCGGTCCTTTGGATGAGAATTTGGTCTCAGAAGACAGACCTCTGTCCAGGCGCTTTGGTCTGCGACAAAGGGCGGACAAAGTGAGACTGATCGATGACTATTCGGAATCTGGTGTCAATGCGAGCGTAACAGTTACTGAGTCACCCATGTTGCATACAGTCGATGTTGCCTGCGCCACATTGATGGTGTGGTTTAGCTTGTGCAGGGAGGCCAATGTGGACAGTTCTTTGGCAGTGCGGACGTTTGACCTGGCTAGTGCGTATCGGCAAGTTGGTTTGAGCAAGAAGGGAAGACAGTTTGCTTACCTCAGGGTGTTCAATCCGGAAACTAGACGAGCTTGCTTCTTCAAGAGCCTTGTCTTGCCTTTTGGGGCAGTTCGGAGTGTGCATTCATTTTTGAGGCTTGCACGTGCGGTCTGGTGGTTGGGGGTGACTGGATGTTTTATTGTCTGGACGTCGTTCTACGACGACTACATCTCCTTCAGCAGGCCCAAATTAAATGGAAGTACAGAGAAGACCATAGTGGCCTTATTCAAACTTCTTGGATGGATATTTGCAGAGGATGGAGACAAAGCGCAGCCTTTTGATTTGCGTTGTGCCGCCCTGGGAGTGTCCTTCAACCTTGAGTCTGCAGCCTCAGGCAAAGCCTTGGTGTGCAACACTGAGTCAAGGTGCATAGAACTTTGTGAAGAGATTGAGAAGGCAATGACTGAGGGCAAGCTGCTAAGCAAGCAGGCCCAGAGGTTGCGTGGGAGGATGCAGTTCGCTGAATCGCAGTTGTATGGCAGAACAGGTAAAAAATGTCTTCGTGTGCTTGCTGATTTTTCAGAGGGACGAAGGTCCGTGCTCACAACAAAAGACATTTTCTTTCTGCGCATGTTCCATGGTTTGCTGAAAAGAAATGTACCGAGAGAAGTCAGTGCGCCTGGCAATGAGAACCTATTGATCTTTACTGATGCTTGCTATGAACCTGACCATCCCACATGGCCTTGTGGCGTTGGAGGTGTTGCGATTATTGGTGGTGAGAGATATTTTTTCTCCCTGGCTTTGGATGCAGAAGTACGTGCGTTTTTTGGAGAAGGTGTGAAGAAGCAAATCATTTTTGAGGTTGAGACACTTGCAGCACTCCTTGCAGCGTACGTTTGGAAGTCAGAATTTCGCAATAGTCGAGTAGTGCTGTTTGTGGACAATGAAGGAACAAAGTTTTCACTGCTTAAGGGACTTTCAGACAATGCGTGCGTTGACAGCATGGCAGAACTTTTTGCGGAGCTGGAATGTGCAGAGCATGTTATAGCTTGGATTGCAAGGGTGCCTTCAAAAAGCAACATTGCAGATCCTCCCTCTAGAGGAGTTGTGGAGGGCACCTCTTTGATACATGCAGTGGATGTTTCCGCAACTGCTCTTGCGTTTCTGAAGGTGATCCTCTCGCAGTTATCCAAAATGGGGGAGACGGCTGCGAGACACATCCCAGCTTAAAACATTCTGCACGCAGCTGAGTTGAAAGTGTTTCAGCGAATAAACTGAAGTGACTTGTCACGAAGTTTTATGAAGTTGAATGCAAGTCGCCCGGCTTGCAAACTTTCGGTCCAAGTGGTGGGCGGGAGGGATTCACCGCAATTTAGTCCTTCTCGACCCACCAACCACCCCAACAGCCACCTTCTTCATCGAAAATGTTGAAGAACAAAAGGCGATTTTGACAAACAATTATGTGGTCAAAGCGTACAATGGCACACAGTGCGCAGGTGTGCGTCTTGCATCATGGGGCTTAAGCCCAGGTGCTCCCAATAGCTGCTCTTTTTGTGCCTCGCCATTTTTCGGTAAGATGCCCCAAGATGATTTGCATATATCAAAAAATGGACTGTTACGGCTCCATTCCAAGATTGCTTTTTAGCACATCGATAAATCTTCTGGCTCCGTTCCAAGATGCTTTGCAGTTGCCACTTTTGTTATCAAACGTATTCACATGTTGTGTTTGGAGACATGTTTGCACACCTAAATATTTTTTTATGTACTTCCGGCTGCCAAAGGTTTGCATCTTGTGCTCCATTGCCCCTAAAACTATGAACAGTTTTGTTTTCTTTCTGTCGTGAGGGCACTTGATATTTTTTGTCAGTTTCCTGGAAACAGTTCTGGACCTTTCGATCCTATATCGAGATATTGGCCAAACTCCCGAGATGTATTTTTCAATAGTCCCAATGTGTACACCGTGCATGATCCGTGAAACACAGGGCTTTCATCACTTGATGAGTTCTATCTACTACTGCACCCCACCGGCAGAGACCAATCCCTACAGCCCACCAACTACGCATGGCCCATTAAGACTTGTGAACCAAATGAACTCATTCAAAGAATCGTACTTGATGTAATTTTTTAGATGGGTGATCGTGAATACATGTCAAAATTCCAACATGTCCATGAAAGAAAAACTTGAACCAGCGACAACAACCAATTTGTTTTCTGTCATGCTAAAGTCTCCCCACCTGCTGGATACCAAATTTTAACTGGAGCTTCCGGCGCTTCCCGTATATAAATGTTGCTTTAAGACTTCCCCCAAAAAATGAAGATACGCTATGGCCAGGAAAATTCAAGAAATGAATGTGGCATCCCACAGTTCGACCCAAGTCATCTATTTCCCCTAGCCTCTTTCTACAATTTCAGGTGCCAACCAATTCTTGTGGGGTATGGAGTTTGGTGGTTTGTCCACTGACAGATTCGAAAAACATTTTCCAAGAATCAAAGATGATCAACCCTATTCAGTTGATTATTGAGAAGATTAAAAACACATTCTTTATATTGTACAAGATCATGAAAAACCAAACAAAAATGATAAGAACTACTCGGTTGTTCCATGTTGCCCTGGCTCAACGTTTTTTTGGAAAAAAACGTGGTGGGAGACTTCGACTATGCCAAAAAGAACAGTGGATGCGGACAAGACCAAGAGCAGAATTGAGGATACATTATTGGCTATAGCAGAATTGATATTTTCGTTATTTTGCAAAATCCTTTGCTTTTCAGCTTTTAACGCTTCATTGATTTTGACGAAACCATCATTTTTCACCAATTTTACAAAACCATATTTGTTTGATGTTTTCTCGATTCTGGCTATCCCTGTGCAGTGCCAAATCAAAATTGCATTGCGTTGCCCATCGCGTTCCGGATGCTGCATTGCATTCCGTTCCATTCAATTCACATAATGTGGCCGGAGCGCTTTGCACTTTGAACTTTCGAAAATGTCTGGTGAAAAGGTGACTCATGTGCGAAGTAGGATCTGTAAGATGATTAGATTATAGACCGTCAATTTTCAGAATTTTGTAAAATAGCTAAAAACATCGTTTTTTTGCAGTTTTCGCGTTTCATTGATTTTAAAGAAACCACATTTTTTTGCTAGTTTTTGTGTTTCGTTGATTTTCAAGAAACCATCGTTTTTAATAGGTTTCTTCGTTTTCGATGTCCAGGGACCCCCGAACAGTGGCCGGAATGCCCAGGCTAAATCAGTCCGGGCACCCGGCATTCTAAATGGATGAGAGGTTGTGTTGCTGCCACTGCCGTTGAAGTTTGAATCCTGAAACACAGCTCAATCGCAGCCTGGTTGCCTTGCTGGTGGAAACAAATATGAACGCATTTGCAACCCTCCGCAGCTTTTAAACATTTTTAAACTGAACTCGTGCACAAACTCGCTCCTCAAACATTCCTGAGATGTCGTGCTTCTTGATGTTCGTCTTGTTTGCAATCCACGTGATTGCCCAGCAGGATGGTGACACTTGGCTGCCCGTTGGCACGCTGGTTGGGTTGAGTGTATATGCTTTTGCTTTTTCATTTTTATTGCATTTCATTCCCCAAACAGGTTTACATGTATAGGGTTTTTACTCCTTAGATCTCCTTAGAAAGGGTTGCATGCTTGGGACGTATGATTTTGCGCCTCCGAGCTTGTGTTCTCATGGTAGGTGCTTGTGTACTTTCCTGTGTGGGTGGGTCAAATGGTTTCTGGCTTGTGTTTCAATTGTTTCTCAGCTTGTTTCCCAGCTTGTCTCCGTGTGTAGGTGAATTTATCTCTGTGTGTGGGTTAGGGTTTCCTTTAGGGTTTTCTTTAGGGTTTCCTTTTAAGGTTGGAGGGGAACGGCTCCGCTCCCCAGTTACGCTCTGGGACTTCAGCGACGCTGTTCAACAAGGACGGCTGTAAGACAGGCAAAACGTATTTCACCATCCCTGATGGCTGGAAGACAAAGAAATGCCGCAAGACGGTTTGTGTCTCAGCTGACCCTGGCTACGTTATCGACAGTACCACACTAGTGGTTGGCAAACTTCGGTGCAAGGGGAGAAAAAAACCATGTTGCGGAGAGGCCTACACCGTCAATGTGAAGGTATACCAAATTGGAAACGTTACCTTGCCGATCCCTATCGAAATACCGGAAAAAGCATGTGTTCATATCCAGGCTGAGGGCGCGAAGAAGCACAACGTCAGAGGGAAGGCAAAGTGCAGCATTACTGCCACACAACGTCTCTTCAGCCTGTGAGTGAAGACAGACAAACCACTCATGAAGGTGAGAGCGGCTGAAGCTTCTTTTAATCTCAGGCCCTCCTGCACAGATGCAAGATCAAGGGTCTACATAGGAATTAATTCGCCCCTCACCAAAGTACCTTGTCAAGCTTGGATGAGGCGGGAAACAGCGGCAACACGAAGTTTGCCACACCTTTCTTTTGAAGCTACAGAGGTTGCTACAACAGCTTTTGACCCACCCCAGGTTTAGATGAGTCTGGACACAGATTTACAGATGGGGCAGTCGTCGCGACTTGAGGGTTGGTGTTGAAAGGCTCTTCAAAGCTTGACATTCTTGAGCATTTGCCTGTCAGTCTTCAAATCATGACATTCTTGAGAATTTGCCTGTCAGTCTTCAAAGCAGTTGGACAGTCACATCAAAGCATTTCAGATGAGAAAAACCATATCCTCACGACGAAGCGATTTTAGGGTTCAGGATTTCATTTGTGATTTCTTCGCTTGTTCTTTTCGTGTGTTTCTACGAGTATGCCACCAAAGAAGCAGTGCCGAGGTTGAACATCAGGAGTGCCGAGGTTGAACATCAGGAGTGTTGAGGTTTGCTCAAAAAAACCCTAATTCTTGTGACGGTTTGAATTTTCAACGGCATGTTCCCAAATTTTTGTTTGTGAAAAACAAACGCATGCTATCGCAACAGAACCAAAATTGCAGCAAATATATCCTCCTGGTGCCTGATGTCGGGAGATGGTTATCCGCTAGATGGTCGCGACAAGGCTACGTTCCTATGGATGCAGTTGATTTTAGTTTACACATATTTTGGTATGCGCAGCAATTGGTTGCGGCTATTGTGTGCAAGTAAGTTGCCATGCGTTCATTCGGGTGTCATTTATTGTCTTCAACGGTTTGTTCAGTGGTTGCCCCAACATAAGATGCAGGTGAACAAATAATTCAGCACACGGTGTGGCGTAATGAATTTTGAATTTTCGTTGTTGGAGATGTGTTAGCCGCAGGCACTGGCATTCAATTCATACTTTACAAAACTTGGCCACATTAAAGTTTCAACACCAAATCATCGACCAACATTGTTTTCATGCCTTTGGATTCAGGCGCAGGACGACAAGCAGACGCAGGACGATCAATGCTTGCAATTTTGGCAATGTTTATCTATTTTGTGGGTTGTCAACATCAACACATGATTTGTCTTTTGCTGTACCCACGTTGCAGGAATTCTTGTGGGAGAAACACGACCACTACCTGCATCTCGGACAATGTTTGGAAGGTCATCATGGGTCATTGGGCGAGGTCTGCATTGTGAACAATTCAATTTGTCATTGGTATGCCTGCACTTTACACAAGTGGCATGCAAATTTGATGTCGGAATGTGTTTAGATCTGTTTTCTTCGTTGTCTTTCTGAGGCGGCACTTGGACGATGACAAGGACCTTCATGTCACCAAAATGCTGGTCGAAGCAGAACAGCCCCTCGCGATCAAAATTTGTATTGGGACACAGGTAAAAATTCTGACCGTTGATTCGTAATTTTTGCCGTAATTACTTTAGCAATTTGGCATGATTGTGTGGGAACAAAGCGCCCACAGTTGGGTAAGTGATTTGCAAGGGAGCAAAGTGGCTGAGGAGTTGCCGCAAGATGCATTGTCAAAAAACAATCCAAGCAGTGAAATTTCCCATATATATATACATATATTATATACATTATATATATATTATACATTATATAACATATATATATGATAAAATATAATATATATATATATATATATTATATACACATATTATATATATATAAATAAATAAACAAATAAATAACTAAATATAAATATAAATAAATAAATAGATAAATAAATAAACCAATAAATCAATAGATAGATAGATAGATAAATACATTATTTTTGTGATTTATCAGTTGCGTGCATGCAGGAGTCTTTGGAATACATGATGCGGGGAACTTAGAATGTTCTGGCGACAATCAATTTGCAAACAGAAACCAGTTGGAACTTGTAGTCCCATGGTAGCAAACTATGCGTACACATGCGTACACCACAAACATAGTATGGGATAATTAGGTGCCTTGATCAGTTGGTCCATGTTTTTTGGACCACCAAACTTGGTGAGCAGTGACCGTCTGTTCCATGGACATCCATGGACAGTGTTGACACTAACAACTTTGACTAAGCGATGTGGTTGACCTCTTTGAGGATATTCGAGACAATATATTTTGACGCTGAAAAATGGTGAACACACACACAATTTTGCCAAAGGTGATTTTGGGAGAGTTTCTGAGGGCAAGCTGGTAACGGATTCACAGTTTCAAAAACCTTGCATTTCAGAAGCTGTCGACTTTTCGACGAATGCTTCCACAGTCGCAGAATCCAAAAAGTGATAAGCAAGTCGTCCTGGCATAAAATGCCACAGTTTTTCAGCAACAGATGTGCAGATGTGCTGGCTTGTGCTGTCGCATGAGGACTGAACACCTTCGCATGGGTGGTATCTACTGGGGTGTCAGCGTTGGTGCCTCCGGATGTTTCTTGAAAAACTGGGAGAGAACTTCCCAGACTGGATCTTTGCTTGCTCGTTGGTAACTGTCCTCCCCTTCGACATTGGAATCAGCCGCTGAGGCAATGGCTTTGCTCCGGCGCCTGAATGACCAGCAAAGGACAAACCTGCCTGAGTGTTCACAGTTTGAGTGTTCACAGTTGAAAGAGTTTTGTGTTGGAGCTGCGATTTGCGCCTTTACAGTGCAGCTCTGTATGCTCTGTTCTGGTGGTCAGGAGAGATGAAATCATCGACTGGATCTTCAGGTGCATATTCGTGTTCCAGCCAGCCAGCAACTGGCTGGCAATGGGGGATGGTGTCATGTGGTGCCGGGGATGATGAAGGTGCCGGGACAGCAAGACTGCTGGTGGCTTTGGGCCCAATGTTGGCCACGATGCGGACATCACCGCCACGCATTATGCTTGGCTTCCCAGTGGATGTGGCTGCAGAGTTGGCCTGGGACTTCAGCTTGGGTAAGAGTCTTTTTTGTGAGGGTTTTTGCCGTGTACGTGTACTCGAACATTCGAATATAAGGTTGATGAGAAGTGACGAAACACCTTCTAAGACACTGAGTTACCTAAAGCATGCAGAAGACAATATGTTCTTGCGAATCATTCGCAGTCCCGAATGTTGCCAAAGGCGTTGCTGGTCTTGTGCATCTATGACGGCTTGGAGCAGCTTGACCGGGAAGGTGGTGACACATCATCGGTTTTAGAGTTTTAGAGTCGCATGGTTGGGAAGGCTTTTGTGAGGACACGCATCTGGTTTATCTTCAGTTTCCGTATTTAGAATATGATATGAATATGACGAATATGATATGAAAGTTTTACTGTACATGGATCAAAACTTTGTCAAGGGACGCTCAGAAATTATCAGCAACGGTGCAAAACACATCAAGTGTGTTTTCCCGACTTGGCATATCCCGTGGACAGATGCAGATAGGGCATGGCAGCCATGTGGACCATATCTTCCGTGCTTCGCGATGCGCCATGCGGAGGTGTTGTCGCCTTCATCGCTGGTCTGCAACAAGAAGATGGATCCTTCGCGGGCGATCGCTGGGGCGAGGCCGGCTGAACCGATGCATGATAAGTCAATGATAAGTTAATGATACGTATATGATAGATGGATTCATATAAAACTTGAATATCTTAAATCTATAGTCTTTGTACTCTTACTTACCAAGTACCCAAGATTAATATGTTTGCCTTTCACATGCAAGGTGGTGCAGGGGAGGATCTCATGCTGCATCGCCCCATTGAACATCTCTACACAGTATATTATGATGCATGAGAATTTTATACATTGGCATTATGATGTATGTCTAGGCTCATGATTATAGAGTGCAAATAGAAAGATCGATCTCTGAATTGAAAGACCTGGAACATTCACCTCTGGATTGGGACACCCGTGCAAAACTTGTTAGATTTCTGCGAGTCCAAAGACAGGAGCTACCATTTTAAGAAACAATATAATATGCGAAGAGCATCCAAAAACTGTCCACGTGATGCTCATTCAAGCTTCCAAACAACAGAACAGAAGACCTCTCAGATTTCATTGCTTATTGGTTTTAAAAGGTTGAATCTCCTTCGCAAGAGGTCTATTCATCCAAAGACAAGAATGTTACCTGGCCCCATTGCTAGGTGGATGTCAGGCTGGAGCCTCAAACATCTAGGAGAAAGCCTTCAGTGCTTCCTCAAGAATCTTGAGCCAAATTGTTCTTTTTCTCCTCTCTTTTTTGCTCTATTCAGACCATACAGTAGAGCTTGAAGAAGACCACACTTGGCGAAGCGCTTCTGTTTTGTTCATGTCAGGTTTGCCTACTGTGCATTGTCTTCCCTGACCATCCTTGACGCCCTTGACCGCGTGAATGTAGATGCATGTGTGGACTGGATCCTGCCTCATCCTTAGAAAGATACAAGGGTTCTGGAGGTGATTGACTTTTTGGTGGGTGTATGAATATCTTGGTGTTACCACATCTTTTCGGGAGTGATGTAGATGCATACAGTCATACAGTGGCGGTGAAAAAAGGTTCGTTCGGAGGAACAGCCGAAGCAGCAGCAGCCGCTACTGAACAGAATGGACAACAGGAATAAAGTAACAAGAATGAGACCAAGAAACCGGGCAGGTGATGCTTCCAGTCCGCAAACGAAACCATGAAAAAGAGAGAACATATTAAGTTGTTCCACATCTTGGCACCTTCAGGCGCTGCATGAATTACGAGGGCGCCTTTGGCCCTGTTCCGATGGCAGAATCTCATGCCGCCTATGTCTTTTGCGCCGTGCAGGCAGCGATGGCAGATGCAGGGGGTGGATGATTTGGTGTGTTTGGTAGACCTTAGAGTCTTAGTGTCAGGATGTTGCCAACGGAAGAAGAATGTGGGCAATTAGTGGAGTGTTTCTCTATTCAACAGATCACTTCGTCTGTGCATGGCTTCAAAGTATGTCATATCATTATCATATCAGTGTTGTATATTGATATGGGCGCAAGCCGTTTTAGCTGGGCGACGCTCAGCTCGAACCCGAGCAGCGTGTGGAATGAAAAAACAAAAAATATATCCTATCACTATCACTATATCCCCACTATATTCCAATTATGATTATCCCCACTACATTCCCACTAGATATCCATTATGCCTTTCAATTTCCACAAGCGCTTGTTCTTCGCCTTCCACCTTGAGATTGCAAGGCCTTGGCACTGGTGGATGCCTTACATGCAGTTGGAGCCTCAGGATCCCTTCAGGTTTCGCTGAAAGTGGGGCTGGGTATACCCCAGGTAAGCATTGTAATTTGAATTGGGAAAATGATCATCTCAGCCATGGAACATTTGGGTACCCTATTCTCAGACAGCCACCCACATTTGTTCCCATATTGAAGTTGTTGAAACATCTCTCTGAGGGGTTATTTTTTGTACCTCCAGTTCCCGGCAAGGAGAGTCAACGCTTTTTCGACTTTGACAGCAGTCAATTTTGATATTTGCTCAGAAGACCCAAAAATGGATGTTTTTCATTACAGTTACAGTCCATAAGCCAGCAACATATGTGTCACTAGGAAATTATAACCCATCATGCACAACATTATATAGATATCCACTTACAATCCACAATCCCAATCCAGAACCATCATCAAAATCCATGACTGCCCATATTCTACAAGTATGAGTAGTATGATCTACAATCCACACTTGTTTACTATTAGATCATAACTTAACTATGATCCATAAATATCATAATCACTAATTATAATCCACTATCCATAATCGAAGGAACTTTAGAAGTCAAACTTCCGACAATGTGGACAGATGAAAAGCAGAGGTGGGAAGAGTCAGAGAAGAGAAGAAAAGAAGAAAGAAGATCAGGGAAGAGAAAGAGTCAGAAGACAGAAGATGCAGGTGCGCGAAAAGGTAGCAAAGTCGTGCAACACTGTGTTTTTCCAATGATTTGTGGCTCCGGAGAGTCGAAAAGTAGGCTCGCTAAAGCGGCGGGTGCGGAGCCATGTGGTCAGATGAGAGATGAGAAGTTGCACGCCGTTGTGGCGCGAAGCATATTTCCAAGTCAAAATGTACAAAGCCACCAACGAAGTTGTGATGTCGAAAAAGTGCACGCCGTCGTGGCGCAAAGCACATTTCAAAGTCAAAAGTGTTAAAAACTGATGGTCTCGGACCGCTTTTGGAAGTTGAGACGTCGAAAAAGTGTACGCCACTGTGGCCCGAAGCACATTTGCAGAGGATCTGCCAGCAGATGCATTTCGCGTGGCAGGCGCAGTGCAAGAGACATGTTCATCAGAGATGTTAGGAGGTCAGGGAGCTGATTTCCTGAGAGGGGTTGCATTTTGGAGCATCAGATCTTCAGGTTTGCAAAGATGATTTTGCGTGACAGGTGCAGCGCTTCGTATGACCTGGCAT